AGGCTTTACATGCACTGCTGCCTCATCCTCTACCAATCCGATGGAACTCAGTTGTACAAATTGTGCCCAGAGCATCTCCAGTGTTCCGCGTAATGCGTGTCTTTGTCTGGCACATCTATCTTAGGAAGATGTGACACTGCATCACGCGACCCCGAAATTGTGCTTCTTTGTCCCTATTCCTGAGCACAGACGCAATTTGTCCGTTTGTTAGGGCCACAATTTGCACGTACATTGTAGGGGTGGTGTTGTGGGTGTTTGGGTGACGTAGTCGCTTAAATGAAGCGTGTGAACTCTCCTGGCTGTGGCTTTGCGCGGCCACAGAAGGATGTCAAAAAAATGCGTCATCGTGGAATCGGCTATTCACATTTGACAAAGCTGTTGTGAATGTGTGATTGATGTGCTGCTATGAGCATTTGAAATGTCGAATTTAGGTAGAGCTGACTACGACTACCACGTGCAGCAACAGCACCAGCTGTGGTCGCAGGGAGGTCGCACTAGCGGTGGTGGTGGTGGTGGTGGTCAGGATGCGCGTGTGGCAGACCGAGGCAAAACGACGACTGCCCTTAGTGGAAATCGTCTTTCGATGCAGCCTAAACCTAGAGGCAGTAACCACCAATCGCGTGCCCGCACTAAGCCCTACCATGGCACCTCACCTCTTCCCTCCGCTCCGCATGCGCATAATCCACGAATCAGGGACAGACCTTTCATGCGGATTAATTTGCATCGGCCCTTTCATGACTACGAGACACAGTTAGTTGTCAAGGTGCATATTTTAGGCGGTGAATTTGTCAGTAATTTTGCCTGAATCTTGTTATTTATTTCAGGTTTTGGTTTGTTTTGCATCTTGATGAAATGTTTGTCTACGTAAATGTAATAAGCACGTGTGATGTTTTTTTTATCTGGAAGCTGTTTAGTGACTGCTTCATGAGAGGCAAATGCCCCAGCATGAGTGATGTTCATAGCAGGACGACGAACTCGGAGCTGCGGGACCTGCGCACAGTGCTGGGCATTTGGAGAAAGGCGAAGCAACTGCTAGCAACCGGCAGATGGATGGATTATGTTCCCCCGTGATGTAAGATGTGCGGGAGTTTGCGGACCCCAAGCACCAGATGTGTCACAGAAAAGAAGGTGTTTGCCATGATCCCATTCAATCTTACCCCGCACAATCACCTCTTTTACTCCCTTATTTGCAGCCTAATCTCAACCCAATTCCGACTCAACATTCCTGCGACACCCTCCCTTACACAAATGCAAATTTCATTACACTTATTCACTTGGCAACCTTTTATTCAACAACAATTAACACCATAAACGAAATAAAAGCTGACGTCTAATTTGCAACACTAACCTAGCTCGATTTGTACCCAATCAGTTGCCCAGAGAAAGAATGTGCTTCATGTGTGTGTGCGTGTGCAGGTGGGGTGTGCTTGCCTGAATGAGATTTGCGCTTTCACAAAGCGAACTGGAGTGAACGCAACCACTAAACGTGGCCATGTTTTAGTTAGTTTGTGTCAATTGTGTGTTTTGTTTTGTAAGAGATGATGCGTGTAGTTTGGTATATCGAAAGTGTTGCTGGCATAATCCCATGTGGGTTATCGCACGTGTGTGTTCGTTGTCGTTAAGACATCCAACCTTGCCAGTGGCGGCTGCACCAGATTGGATGAGGCTTCTCTCAGGATGAGTCGTGCACAGTCGCAGGCACGTCGAGTTGTGAGGAACATTCAGAAAATGATGAAACGCTAGATGTGGGCTGTTACCGGACTGACTATGGGACGGCGTAATATTTACGGTGCTCGGGTGTAGTGGAGGAGAGTGTTTTTGCCATGCTGTCACATTATTTTACTCCTTCCACCTACCTATTTACTCAACAGCCTGCTTGAACCCTGTTGGCACTTGAACACGTTGAATCACTTTCGCAACTGCCTACCAACAGCTTGCATCCGTGTGCGGGTGTGTGTCTATGTCTGGTCAATTGCTTCTCAAGAATAGACTTGACGCACAAGGTCTTGTGTATGTGGCTGTGTGTGTTGACATCGTGTTTGTTGCTTAACACACATCCGCACATTTTGCGAGCATACTTATTATAGCTCAGATGTGTAAAACAGCGCGAGTCACACAAGTGCTAGCATCGAGACGTAGGCAGAAGTTATTGCAAGTGTATTGGCAATGACGGATAATCGCTCTCTCTAATGACTTGTCACATGCAGTTCCAAAAGTGCTAACATCCAGACGTAGGTGAACGTTTCCCTCTTCGGCTGATGACGGCAGAGAGCTATGCCTCTAACATCGTTGACAATTGCTAAACAGGTTCCGGCAAATTAGGAAACGAACATGAGGGGAAAGGAGTCTGTGGTGGCGGTGGTAGTGTGGATTACCGACAATGGTGCATGGACCAGCCCGGTGATGAATTTGTTGGTTGAGGTTGTAGCCTTCGTCACCGGTCATCGTGGAATGCGGATTATGGTCTAGCTTCTCCTTGATGGATAGTGCTGCTCTGTATCGTTAAGGACCGGTAAGCACCTAGTATTACAGACGTGTGTATTCTGTGAGATAGAGCTGCTACTGCTTCGCAGTCGGCCTGAGTAGATGTGTTTGTGGTTCTGTCTGTTAGGCGACATGCCATTGCATTGAAGTTGACGTGTTGTGGACGAATGCGCATCTCCTGCTGGATGGCTCGCAGTGGCGCTGATGACTACATGCCATGCACATTTCCATCTTCTCAACAGTGTCAATTTGCTCATATCACTTATGTGGTTTGCTAATTGGCGCGATTTCTCAAGACAATAATATTGTTTTCTAGTCTTTTTTCATTTGAGATTTTATCGATGACGAGAAAATCCACATGTTTTTGGATAAAGTAAGGACTCACGGCCTCGTTCGGTTGCTTCAAACACAGTCAAGATAGCCATGATGGCACACAATCAGATGCCTCAATGTAATTATTCGGTGGTTGGGTGTGTGTGTGCGTGTGTGCCTGTCAACCTAACTGGTTGTCGACATTGATTCGCCAGAAATGAATGCAATGCATGGAGCAGTGGATCAATCGCATTCCACCGGACACCCCGACTTATGTGCAGAACTCGATCAGGCAAATCGAGTTCATCTCTGCCCCAAAGCCCTTCACCGATGAACTCTATCTCTCCGACCACAAGCTGTGGCAATACCAGCATCCCCGGCAATACTGGTGGTGGTGATGGTAGAGAGAGTGTGGCATCTGACGGTATTTGAATTCCCGCTCATGTGGTCAATATTTACCTTTTCTTGCTTACATTTATTCAAAATGCCGTTTTTTGATGTCTAAACAATAAAGGGCTTCAATTAGATCTTTGTGTTTGTTAAGTCACTGACTCTGTCAGATGTTCAACGGAGTTTGCTTCTTCGACGTAGGTGGTGTCTGGCATTCGAAAAGTATTCCCTTCGAACAAGTCTTAGTAGCAGTCCGCAACACCAGGTGCTACCGAATTGTCGTTCCTCACCGATACAAAACAGCAGTCGTCACCAGCGCAAGACCTAGACCATAATCCACATTCTATGGTGACCGCTGACGAAGGCCACCACCTCAACCAACAAATGCACCACCAGACTGGTCCATGTACCAATGCTGGGCCTGCGCCATCGCTGCTAACCCTGCAATCTGCTTCCCTCATTCCATCGCCTCCAAATCTGCCGGAACCTGCTCAGCAATTGTCAACGATATCATAGTCAGTGCTTCCACCTTGTCCCGGTTAATCCGTAAGCTACATCTTTTATAATGTGATTCAACGTGTTCGAATGCGAAGAGCGCGGGAGGAGAATGAGAGGGAGGGTGGGTATGTGGGTGGATGGGTGGGTGGAAGGATTAGGTTAAGGGGGGAGGGTCAGCATGGCAAACTCCTTCTCGTCCTTGTCATATCTGGAGCGCGCCGCCAGCCACGCGCACACACGCACGCACCGCACTGCACACATCACAGGATCGCATAGTCGGTCCAACAGCCGCTCGCCTGCAGTCGTTTCACCTTCGCCAGCCCAAATGCTACTCGCGTTGCGACGTGTCTGCAACTGCGAGTGCGCCGTCATGCCACGAACCCCACTCAAACTAGGGCAGTTGCCATTCGCGAAGTAGTCACTGAACAGCTGAAATTAAAAGAAAAAAAAACAACCATGCCTACTTATTGCATCTACGTAGACTAATATTCCCACTACATGCAACTCTCTGCTAAACTTGACATTGTGTCATTCGTTAGGCAAACTTAATGAAACATTTACGCACACTGACATCAGCACCTCGCAGGCAATAGCCGTGCTCAGGAAGTGAAAATAACTTTCGCATCAATTTAGTGTCCAATGAACTCGATCTCGATTTCACAGAAAATATTTTTAAAGCCATAGACAATAAAATGGGCAAGCGCTTGTCGTAGACACATCAAATGGTCGCTAGTCTTTGCTAGCTATGAGACTGTCATCAATGTGCACATATGTGAAGTCAAGACCACGCGCAAATTCACCCATGAATCTCAAAACTCCTGAGGGATATGTGAGGACATAAACGGACCAAATAAGGTTATGTCGGCAATTTTAGTGAGGTAATGAGGGGCAACAGGAATTTTTTGATGAAACTGGGGAGGGTCAGTTCTTGAAATGGCCTTAGTATCGTTAAAACTAAATGTAAAGCATAAAAATAACGAATGAGTTAGCGAAAAGGGCTGAGATATGAGCCCGCGTTTAAACATTACTTCTGTCCACATTTCATTCCCAACTCACATTCGAATACAGCGTTACGACTCAAACCTCGCACCCTACGCTCAGGATATCGAGTAAACTAGGTGGATTTTGCCCAGCTACAAACACCTTGTCACCTTCACAGCACAGACACACACAAGATCACCTGCACCCAGATCATTCTTGCAATGCCATGGACCAAATAACACGTCTATGTGTGTCCGATCGCGTAGAAACAGGATGCTTCAACGATAAAAAACGTACACGGACAAGGGCCAATAGGGATTGTTGAACATGCCAACAAAGATTTCTACATATCGAGCAACACACAACAACAATTGCACAATTCAAACATAAACATAAACATGGCTACATTTTGTTGCACCCCTGACTCTAGGTAGCTTTGCGAAATCAAAACGGTTTTTCAGGCAAGCGTTCCCCACGCATACACAACACGCGGACACCCCCACGGAAACACATGCTTCCTCAAGGAAATTGATTAGGTAAAATTCGAGTCAGATTAGTGTTGCAAATTAGGCGACAGCTTATATTTGAGTAATGGTGTTGTGTGTTAATGGGTACAATTTGACAAGTAAAAAACGGGTGTTTGAAATTTTATTGTCGTAAGGGTTGGCGTAGCATGTAATCGGATCTCGAAGGCAGCCTATATTGGTAACCACCTTCCTCAACAGCCTCATCCTGTCAGCGACAACTACCTATTAGCTGGCAGCACCTGGTGCTACGTTGTCGCTCCACCCCTTGCCTCCTCTCCGTCTGCACATAATCGGAGAATCTGGGACGGATCTTTCATACGAGGCACTTGAGTCTGTCGTCGTGTTCCTATTTTCCACCACACCCATCGCCACACCATTACAAACGCCTGTCATTTTACTCTTTATCTTGTATCCATTAACACTTCGCACCCTACACAATCCACAAACTGTCGTCTATGCTGCAAAACAAGACTGGTCAATGCATAAACGCTGTTTTATCGTTACCGTTGCCACCACCTTACCCAAAAAGCAACTCCGCATCCATTTCTAGCAGATACTTTTCAACATTTGTTCAACATTTGTTCACGCAGTTAGAGGTTCCCAGGTGTCTGCGGGATTTTGTAGGCAATTTCTACCATGCTTGCTCCAATGTCATGTTTGCATCAATTTACTATTCGCTTTCAACGCAGGAAAATTGACACGTTGTGTTGTGGCGACGACATGTTGTTTTAAAACAAGATAGTGACCGGAATTTGCTTTGGTCCATTACATCGCACTACACGTCTTTAATGCCTTCCGCTCCTGTCTGGACAGTGTCAGAGAATTATTTGACAATTTGTAATGCAAGGAAATTTGACTTTGTTTTTCGATGACTGCGAGATGCCACTTAATGTCAAGTTGAACTTGTGTTCCGATCAAAGCTCAGATGTGTGAAACCGCACGAGTCACAAAAGTGCTAACGTGCAGTCA